TTCTCCCATTTCCCTATTTTTTTTCCCATTTTCCCCCATTTTTTCATACTCTAACCCATTTTCCCCCATTTTCCCCACATTCTAACCCATTTTTCCCCCATTTTCCCCACATTCTAACCCATTTTTCCCCCATTTTCCCCTCTCCAACCCCATTTTTTTCCATTTTTTCTCCCCATTTCCCCATTTTTTTTTCCATTTTTCCCCATTTTTTCATACTCTAACCCATTTTTTCTCCCCATTTTCCCATTCCAACCCCATTTTTCATCCCCATTTTCATGTTTTACCTCAATTTTTCTCCATTTTCCCCCATTTTTTCATATTTTAACCCATTTTTTCTCCCCATTTTTTCCCCATTTTTCCCCCATTTTCCCCATTTTAACCCATTTCTCCCCCTTTTCCCAGCCCCTCTGGGCCATGGGCAACGCCAAGAGCGGCGCCCTGTCCAAGGAGATCCTGGAGGAGCTCAAGACCAGCACCCGTTACTCGGAGGAGGAATTGTGCCGCTGGTACGAGAGTTTCCAGCGCCAGTGCCCGGACGGGCGCATCAGCCGCGCCGAGTTCGAGAAAATCTACGGCACCTTCTTCCCCAACTCGGACCCGCAGGGCTACGCGCGCCACGTCTTCCGCAGCTTCGACACCAACGACGACGGAACCCTCGATTTTCGGGAGTACATAATAGCGTTACATCTCACCTCATCGGGGAAAACGCATTTGAAGCTGGAATGGGCGTTTTCGCTCTTCGATGTGGATAGGAATGGAGAGATCAGCAAGAATGAGGTGTTGGAGATCATCACGGTGAGTTTGGGATTATGGAAAACAGAGATTTGGGGTCAAAAAATGAAAAAAAATGGGGTTTGATATCATGAGACTGGAGAGATCGGCAAGAGTGAGGTGCTGGAGATCATCACGGTGAGTTTGGGAATGCAGGATTTGAGATTTGGGGTCATCACGGTGAGGAAATGCAAAATTTGGGGTCAAAAAACCTGAAATTTGGGGTCAAAAAATGGGAAAAAATTGGGTTTGGGATTGGGAAATTGGAGTTATGAGGTTCAGGATTTGGGATTTGGAGTCATCACAGTGAGGGTCAAAAAACACGAAATTTGGGGTCAAAAAATGGGAAATTTGGGTTCGACACCAACGACGACGGAACGCTCGATTTTCGGGAGTGCATCATCGCTTTACATTTAACGTCGTCGGGGAAAACGCATCTCAAATTGGAGTGGGCGTTTTCCCTTTTCGACGTGGATAGGAATGGAGAGATCAGTAAGAATGAGGTGTTGGAGATCATCACGGTGAGAAAATTGGGAGATTTGGGTGAAAAAATGGGAAAAAATGGGAAAAAATGGGGAAAAATGGAGTTTGGGTTCATGAGAATGGGGAGATCAGCAAGAATGAGGTGTTGGAGATCATCACGGTGAGGAAATTTGCAGTTTTGGGGTCAAAAAATGGGAAAAAATGGGAAAAAATGGGGTTTGGGATGAGTAACAATGGGGAGATCCCAAGAGCGAAGTGTTGGAGATCATCACGGTGAGGAAATGCAAAATTCGGGGTCAAAACCCATGAAATTTGGGGTCAAAAATGAAAAAAATGGGGTTTGGGAATAGGAAATTGGAGTTACGGGATTGGGGAATGGGGAGATCCCAAGACCGAAGTGTTGGAGATCATCACGGTGAGGAAATCCAAAATTCGGGGTCAAAAAACACGAAATTTGGGGTCAAAAAATGGGAAAAAATGGGGTTTCAGAGTGAGAAATTGGAGTTCTGGGGTTCAGGATTTGAGATTTGGGGTCATCACGGTGAGGAAATGCAAAATTCGGGGTTGAAAACCAAAGAAATGGGGTTTGGGATCATGAGAATGGAGAGATCGGCAAGAGCGAAGTGCTGGAGATCATCACGGTGAGAAAACGCAAAATTTGGGAGTGAAAATTTGGAGATTTGGGGTCAAAAAATGGGAAATTTGGGGGTTGGGAATGGGAAATTTGGGTTCGACACCAATGATGACGGGACCCTCTGATGTCATCGGGGAAAACGCATCTGAAATTGGAGTGGGCGTTTTCGCTCTTTGATGTGGATAGGAATGGGGAGATCAGTAAGAGTGAGGTGTTGGAGATCATCACGGTGAGTTTGGGATTGAGAAATTTGGGGTTTGGGGTCAAAAAATGGGAAAAAATGGGGTTTCGGATCATGAAAATGAGGAGATCGGCAAGAGTGAGGTGCTGGAGATCATCACGGTGAGTTTGGGATTGGGAAATTTGGGGTTGGGGGTCAAAGAACCAAAATTTGGGGTCAAAAATGAAAAAAATGGGATTTGGGATCATGAGAATGGAGAGATCGGCAAGAGCGAAGTGTTGGAGATCATCACGGTGAGAAAACGCAAAATTTGGGAGTGAAAATTGAGAGTTTCGGGTCAAAAAATGGGAAATTTGGGGTTTGGGAGTGTGAAATTTGGGTTCGACACCAACGACGACGGGACACTCGATTTTTGGGAGTGCATCATAGCGTTACATCTCACTTCATCGGGGAAAACGCATTTGAAGCTGGAATGGGCGTTTTCGCTGTTTGATGTGGATAGGAATGGGGAGATCAGCAAGAATGAGGTGTTGGAGATCATCACGGTGAGTTTGGGATTATGGAAAACAGTGATTTGGGGTCAAAAAACGTGAAATTTGGGGTCAAAAATGGGAAAGAATGGGAAAAAATGAGGTTTGGGAGTGAGAAATTGGAGTTACGGGGTTGGAGAATGAAGAGATCCCAAGACCGAGGTGTTGGAGATCATCACAGTGAGGAAATGCAAAATTCGGGGTGAAAAAATGGGAAATTTGGGGTTTGGGAATGGGAAATTGGAGTTACGGGATTGGGGAATGGGGAGATCCCAAAAGCGAAGTGTTGGAGATCATCATGGTGAGTTTGGGATTGAAAAATTTGGGTTTTGGAGTCAAAAATCCAAAATTTGGGGTCAAAAAGTGGGAAATTTGGGGTTTGGGATCATGAGAATGGGGAGATCCCAAGAGCGAAGTGCTGGAGATGATGACGGTGAGTTTCAGAATCTGAAATTTGAGATTTGGGGTCAAAAATTGGGAAATTTGGGTTCAACACCAACGACGACGGCACGCTCGATTTTCAGGAGTGCATCATTGGAAAAATTGGAGTTCTGGGGTTCAGGATTTGGGATTTGGGGTCATCGCGGTGAGGAAACGCAAAATTTGGAGTAAAAAAATGGGAAATTTGGGGTTTGGGAATGGGAAATTGAAGTTACGGGATTGGAGAATGAGATTTTGGGTGGAATTTGGGATATTTTGGGTTGAGTTAGGCCTGGGGTTCGGCCTAAGGTTAGGATTAGGGTTAGGGTTAGGGGTAGGGTTAGGCCCAGGGTTCAGATTTGCAGTATTTTGGAGCAATTTGGGATTTTTGGGATGGAATTTGGGGGATTTGGGGAGATTTTGGTTCGAATTTGGCGTATTTTGGATGGAACTTGGTGGATTTTGGGTCAGGGTTTGTTTAGGCCTAGGGTTCGGCCTAGGGTTAGGGTTAGGGTTAAGATTAAGGGAATTTGGGGAGTATTTGGGATTTTTGAGTTGGAATTTTGGGGATTTGGGGCATTTTGGCTAAAATTTGGGGAATTTTGGGTGGAATTTGGGGTATTTTAGGTCATGATTGGGTTAGGGTTATGGTTAGGCCTAGGGTTAGGGTTAGGGTTATGGTTCGGGGAATTTTGGGGAAATTTGGGATTCTGGGATTAAATTTGGGGAATATTTGGGGATTTTTCCTGGAATTTGGGCATTTTGGGTTGGAATTTTGGGAATTTTGGGTGGAATTTGGGGTATTTTGGGTTAAGGTTAGGCCTAGGGTTAGGGCTAGGGCTAGGGTTAGGGTTATGTTTCGGGGAATTTTGGGAGAATTTGGCATTTTGGGGTG